TTGGGAACAGGGGAGGGGTCTGGATCACAGTCGGGATTGGGGGAAGGAAGAGGAGGTTTGGAAGAAGGAAGGGCAGGGAGAACCGATCGGGATAGCCAGCGGGATTGGGGGGGGAACGGAGGCGGGGACGGAGGGGAGGAGGGGGGAGGAGGCGATCGAGATCGCAACTTGGGAACAGGAGAGGGGTCCGGATCACAGTCGGGATTGGGGGAAGGAAGAGGAGGTTCCGAAGAAGGAAGGGCAGGGAGAGCCGATTGGGATAGCAAGCGGGATTGGGGGAGTCGGAAGTTCAGACGAGAAAGAGAGGGGGGGGGAGGAGGGGGGAGGGGAGACCAGGCAATCGGGATCACAAGTTGGGAACAGGGGCGGAGTCCGGATCACAGTCGGGATTGGGGGGAAGGAAGAGGAGGTTCGGAAGAGAGAGGGGCAGGGGGAGCCGATCGGGATCGCAAATTTGTTCAGTTTTTTTTTCTTTCTTTTTTCTCTCGGTTTAAAAAATCCGCATCGCCTCGCAATGTGCGGAACTCGCGATGCAAGATAGAGGGAAGAGCGGGGAAGCGTGGAATCGATAGAGGAGGGGGGGGAAGTATGTTGGGAGGGAGGTAGACGTATATATATATTTTTTTTACCCATGTAAAACAAATATAGAAAATGATTGGTCGTCTGTGTGCGAAAAAAAACATGGTACATCTTTTTTTTTTTTTGTTCCTTTTAGAACTAAAAATCGTCAACTTATTTAATTTTCTTTTACAATTACGATTTGTTGATTGATTATATAACAACAAAATAAAGCGAACGGACCTTCCCTTATTGAAAATGATTGGTCGTGCATGTGCGAGAAAAAACATGGTGCATCTTTTTTTTTTTTTTTCCTTTTAGAACTAAAATTCGTCAACTTATTTAATTTTCTTTTACAATTACGAGTAATGAATTGTTGATTGATTATATAACAAAACAACAAAATCAAACGAACGGGCCCTCCATTATTGAAGAAAAGCACAAGTTAGTTAGTTGTTGTTGTTGTTGTTTTTTTTTTTTTTTTTTTT